ATTTGCTAATAGGATGAGTAGGATTTGCTCACATGACGAGCAGGAGTTGCTCACAATGTGAGGATGAGTCGCTAGGGGGCAGATGAGAAGTTGCAGAGTAGGCGATGAGAAGTTTCATAGGGGGGAGATCAAACGGTTGCACCAAAATGTACGTAAGTTGTTCATTATTTTGCACGAATTGACCGCAAAAATGATTGAAATCTTCAGATATAATGATGGAGAGCACACAAGAGTTGCCTGATGAATGCACTAGAGTTGCATAAAAACACCCCAAAAGTTGCTGACCTTTTTTGTGTGCTACTTGATTGCATAATGACCCAAAGTTTCTTGTCTTTGTTTTGCCTCCAATAGCCCCATCAATGTGAACTTAGTATTTTCCATATGTGGTTTCTTTGTCTAGATATAAGTTAGGTTGAGAGTACACATGAGTTGCCTGATGAGTGCACTGGAGTTGTGATGTTTCGACTAACTTTGTGCCACGAACAATGTTTGGTGCTATGGAGAAACTTTGCTGCTATAGTAAAGCAACTTCTGGTTAGTTTGCATCGTAAACCTCCCTATCATCGAAAATCCCTTCGAAGTTGGCTACCATGATTACCAAGTTAACTAAATTCACCACTGAGTTTGCTATCATAACTAGTTTCACCTCCAAGTTGATAGTACCGTAGGTAACTTAGTTTCTGAGATAGCCTAACATTATCCTAAGTTGCATGGCTGACCAGTGAGTAGCCTAATATCATCCTAAGTTGCTACAATACTTTCATGTATTGTAGGCAACTGAAATTGTAATGGCAGGCAACTAAGAATCATCGGTAGGCAACTTCATAGTATTTGTACGCAACTAAAAAAACGATGATCAGCAACTTCATAATATTGTAGGGAACTAATTTCAAAAGTTAGGCAACTAAGCAGCAATTGCAGGCGACTAATTACCAATAGCAGGCAACTGGGCATCAATGGTAGGCAATTTCATCGTATTTGTAGGCAACTGAGCATCAATTGTAGGAAACCGAACATCAACAATAATCCATGATAGGCAAGTTAGGATAATGTTAGCAAAATTTATATTTCAATGATTTTTTTGCCATATTACATACGATATATTTCAATGAACTTTTTTTAAAAAGAAGTGCCCATGCCACCAGGAGCAACTTTTGTGCTATGTGGAGCAACTTTCGTGCTACGAGAAGCAACTCCCAGCTATGTTACCCTTCCATGACGCCAGTTCGACTAATGATCTTTGTAAGTTCGCTAATATGACTACCAAGTTGTGTAATGTTTTTCTTATGTTGCCTACAATCAACCATACTATTGCCCAAAACCAGATATCCATTTGCTCACAATCAATCATATAGTTGTTTAAAACCATGTATCCAGTTGCCCACAATCAATCATCCAGTTGTCTAAAATCATGTATCCAGTTGCCCAATCCTAACGAACAGAAACATTACCAAGACCATAATTTCGATAATATGCAACGGTTTTAGTTACCTTTGAAGTTTGTGTCATAGAGATGCGTCAAGAGTTTATCTCCTTAGGATGGGATCCCTTGGTATGATCGTAAATACTTGGCTAAAGATCATAAAGGGGGAGCAGGGTGGAGTTGGTCATGGGGACATAACTAAAACCATGAAGTGTTTTTAGGGGATTAAATTTATATGTGAACCCTCCAAAAATGAACATGTGTATGTTCTTTATCCCTTTTTCAGGTGTCATAGTTGCCTACAATCAATCATACAGTTGTCTAAAACCATGTATTCAGTTGCTCACAATCAACCATACAGTTTGCCTAAAACAATGTATCCAGTTACCCAATCCTCATGAATAGAAACATTACCAAGACCATTATTTGGTAAATATCTAAAGGTTTTAGATACCTGCAATAAAGTTTGTGTCAAAGAGGTGGAGTCAAGATTTTAGGTGGGATCCATTGGTGCGGCCATAGAGTGGAGGGGGTGAAACTGGTCAGGTTTCCTAGCTGGAGATATGAGACACATGACTGTGTGTGTGTATTTTCTCCTCTGCTACTACCTAGTTGCCCAAGGAAAACAATGAAGTTGTTCAGAAAACTGCACAGAGTTGCCCGTTAATCACATCTCATTAGAATCACAGGCACCCACAAAACTGGGGAGGGGAGGGGGGCTGCGTTGGGTCGCCTTTACCGTGTGTGTTTTTCTACTATACTACTACCTAGTTGCTCAAGGAAAACAATAAAGTTGTTCAGAAAACTCCACATAGTTGCTCGCTAGACATCATCAAGATCACATGCACCAACAAAACTGGGAGGAACTTGCTCCTTTTTAAACAATAGGACACAAACAATTTCTTTATTTTTTTTCTTTTTTTGGTTTTACAACCAAAATAGTTTCTAAGTTTATGTGGACAAAGTTTGATCCGGGATAGGCAACCTCATAGTGGGATGTGCAGACCTTTGTTTCCGAGGCCAAGGAGTTAACTTTGAGACCGATGTGCGTGAAAGACTGAGGCTGACTTGTCGGCAAGCTTGTCGTAGGTCATCAACGCGGACCGGACGATGGAGGAGGCATTCCATTCTAACGAACTTGCTTGATATATATGAGGGTCACACAACGATACACAATAAGGTGATGCCTTGGTTCTAGGGATGTGGCCCCGTTTCATTTTGAGGTAGTAGTGGTGGTCGTCGCAAGAGCCACATGTCGCTTGCAGTAGTGTTCATTGTAGAGGTGGTCGCGAGGGACATGATTCCGTACACACACCCAACAAAACGAACCCGGGGGACGTAGTCCGTCTCGGCGCCGTTAGATCGGTCGCCCCGGTTCCAGACAACGGTGCCAGTGAACCGTGTGTAGACGGATCTGATGACGAGGTAGCGCTCGGCACTGTATGTGGACGGATCGGGCGGTGAGGTAACGCTCAGGTACGCGGACGGATCGGACGGCGAGGTAGCACTCGGCATTGTACGCGGACGGATCGGACGACGAGGTAACGCTCGGCACTGTACTCGCGGACGGATGGCGAGGTAGCCCTCGGCACTGTACGCGGACAAATCGGCCGGGGAGATAGGGCTCGGCACGGCATGCGGACGGATCGGATCGGTCGACAAGGTATTTGACGACGGGCGGACAGCGAGATAGGCATCATGAGCAGTCTCACACGTTCAAGAAGCAAAGTAGAAAACAGCAAACTAGCACATGCTAAGTGCTAGACATGAGCAACTTTGCAATCCACGCGTATGTGTTGGCTTAGCTGCTGCTGATGGATGGATGTGTGATGGGTGAGGACGCTGGATGTGATTGCTAGTGATTGCTAGCTACGCATGCATCGCGCGCGGAGAAGTGATCTAGCTATTCTATTCAGCCCGTACGTGGAGGGTGCGCTCGGAAAAACGATCGAGCGCAGCGGCGCTGGCTAGCCGCGTCCTTAATTTATCCACTTGCTAGTTAATAGCTTTTGTGCCGTATTACGCTTGCACAATTTTAAATTTGAGATCTAGTTTCTACCAATAACCTGCAGCTGCAGCAAATGAACTGTTCTGAACTTCTAAGCCTGCCTATTTCTGATGAATTTTTATCACTCTTGGTTTCAGGAAACAAGTGGATTTCAGACATTATTGTTTGGAACTACACAACACGGTCAGAACATTAAAATGATTTGTCACAATTGTAGAACAGAGTGACAGACTGATGACAGAGACTGTTGTTCCGCTAATCCCAGTTGGAAGATAAAGGTATGGAAACAAGTAGCTAGCCTATTATCGTTTGGAACAATTCTCTCCGTTGCTGGCTGAGGAATAGCAGCGAGGAAGCTCCTTCTGGCCACTACGCTCGTCGTGAAGGAGCCCAGCTCCAACAATACCACCATGGACCCATGGCCTCTTCACGACCACCCACGCCCCCAATTTCGGCACACATCTTACACACGGGCCACTCGTCTAGCGTGGATGCCGCGTGGGTCAACCTGCCACCTCCCATGCCCGTGTGCATCACTGGCGACAACACCGGAAGTCCGGAACCCTCCATGTCGAAAACGAAGGTCCCTATTGCCCCGCTCCGAGCCGCGAAATACAGTCGAAATCGAATGCGAAAAAGGTAGCCTGCGGTGCGGTGGTTACCTCCGTGGTCGCCGGCGAGATGCGCCCATGGTTGGCCTTCCCGTGACGGTGAATCGGCGCAGAAATTGCCCCGCCTCTCCCGTCGCCTGCAAACAGAATAGGGAGGAGGAAGGGGAGCGGTGGTGCGGGGTGATTTTCCCCTGGAATTACTGTTCACAGGCCCCACCAAAACCGCTGTCGGATGTCTTCCTGGCGCTTCGATCCATCGCAACAATCGACGGCTCTCTCGCGTGCGCTCGAGACAGCGATCCAGCGCAGCTGCGCGATGGAGACCTCTTGAAGAGAGAATGGTTGTCAATCATCCATTGAAGGCCAGTTTTTCTTTGCTTTTTTCCAAAATCTGTACCTCTTATATGATTATTATAATTATAGTATATGGTTGAGATTTGGATGAGGTCTTTATTATACTTTAGTACAGATGCAGACTATTTCTTTGTGAATTAGTCAATACGTGCAACCAGTAAGGCAAAAATCACAAGAAAACAGAACTACAAAATAAATGAGATCACGATGCATCAGAGATGTATACAACTCTAACTGGAGGACCATCTGGTTGCTCCAGCTACACCCTTCGTGATCCAACAACCAAGTCATAACTTATTTCCAGCCACAGATGTTGAAAATCATCATTTAAAAGTCTAAGGACCAAAACAGGTTAGCTAATCAACAGTTATGCAAAATTCAATTGTTAATCTTGGATTGAAGTGAAAGAGAAGATAAATTCCATCCATGGACTCACTTTTGAGCTTTGACCACTGAGAAACTATAAAATGTGGTTACTATCAATAAAATATCCTCAGAAGCAATCTTTTCATTAAAGATTTCACTCCTACTATAATTAATTTCAGGGAAATACATTATATGGATACAGCCAAAAAGGAAGAAGAAATAATCTCTTCAATCAGTATTATGACACGCTTGCACCCTGCAATGATTTGCAGAAAACCATGCCTGCTGAGGTGCGCATTGGTTGCTCACCAAGAACTGCTACGCAGTTATCCGTTGTCTTAAGGTGAGGCTGAACAGATTCCCAAATCTTTTTCTTTTGAACCTGGCAAAAATACAGCAATCCATGAGATGTGTTGCTGCAAAATAACTTCCATGGTAACCCATTTCTGCAAAATAATTTCTTACATAGGCTGGATTCATGGAAGTGGACAAAATGCAACATGGCTCTAGGCCTATCAAGATTTTGAATATTATATTATTTCCACATAAATAACAAGTCATAGTATTTTAGCACTTATGTTTTACTAAGCGTTTCATGACCTAACAACCATGGACTGCCTCTCAAGAATCCACAGCAGTTACCAGAAAATATCAGCGAGATATCAGTTTTCACTGCAGGTTTTCTCACCAAATTTAGCCTGCATAAGATGCAGACCTAAGAGCAACTCTAGCAGACCCCGCAAAAAGCCCTGACCCGCAAAATAACCGCCAAAATGCGGGTCGGCGCGGAAAATCCCGCCCGAACAGACCCCGCAAACGCGGCCGGCCCGCAAAATTTTTTGAGGGGCGCGGCAAAATCTCGGCCCCAACCCGCGAATACGCGGGTTTCCCCCTCGCCCCTACGGTGCCCCGTATCGCATTGAAGCGGTTGGCGGGAGGGACATTTCAGCCCGCGCCCTTTCCCCATCTCCTTCGCCACCGCCCGCCCTTGGTTCCGCCCGTCCGCCGCCAGCGATTCCGGCCAAATCTGCGGGCGGAATCGCGCCGCGGGGGCGTCCCCCATCCTCCAGCACCAATTCGCTGCACCGCCCCCCTGGATCCGGCGAGAAGAGCCGCCCCTCGTCGCTGTCGCCGCCGGGGATCGACCGACCTCGAGCCCGCCCCTCGTTGCCGCCCGGGATCACCCGCCACACGAGCCGCCGGTCAGTGTTTGTTTTGTGCTTTGTGCTGAGTGTTATGCCTAGTTGATTGACGCGGCGTGCGATTCTTGTCCATGTAGATGGAATTGAGCCCGTGCGAGAAGTTCTTGCTCTCCGATTCGGATGACTCGGATGTTGAGACGATGCTTGCGACCTTTCGGCAGCAAACATTAGTGATGACACTTGCCGTGAAGGAGCACAAAGACGAGAACCGAAAGAGGCGGCGAGGATTGACCGTCGGGCGTCTTTGCATTCCTCGGAATCGCCATCTCGGGAACGAGATGTTGATGCAAGACTACTTCGCGGAGAATCCAACATATCCACCGCACCTCTTCCGGAGAAGGTACCGAATTCGCCGATCCCTCTTTGTGAAAATTGTTCAAGCTTGCGAGGCAAATTGTCGGTATTTTACTCAAAGAAGAAATGTTGCAGGCTTAAAGGGATTTAGTGCATATCAAAAAATCTCCGCAGCTATGCAGGTGATTGCATATGGCGTTCCGGCTGACTATGCCGATGAGTACCTTCGCATTGGTGAAGATACCACAATTGAGTCAGTGCGTAGATTTGCCAAAGTGATCATCCGTGTCTTTGGTCCTGAATATCTTCGGGCACCCAACGAGGATGACACAAAGAAATTGATGGCATCTAATGAGAGGAGAGGTTGGCCTGGCATGCTAGGTAGCATTGATTGTATGCATTGGACTTGGAAAAATTGCCCGAAGGCATGGCAAGGAATGTATTGTGGCAAGTCTCGTGATGCAACAGTTGTGCTAGAGGCCGTAGCATCCAAGGATTTATGGATTTGGCATTGCTTCTTTGGTATGCCGGGCACTCTCAATGATATCAATGTGGTGCAACGGTCTCATTTGTTTGCTAGGCTTGCTAGTGGTGATGCTCCTGCTTACAACTACACTATCAATGGGCATGAATACACAAAAGGGTACTATCTTGCAGATGGTATATACCCTCCTTGGTGCACCTTTGTCAAGAGCATCAAAGATCCCAAAACTAGAAAACATTGTGAATTCGCAAGGGTGCAAGAGACAGCCCGAAAAGACATTGAAAGAGCATTCGGGGTTTTGCAATCTAGGTTTGCCATTGTTCGTGGTCCTGCTCGTTTTTGGGACAAGAGGACCTTGAAAAATATCATGACATGCTGTGTTATCCTTCACAATATGATCCTCGAAGATGAGAGAGGAATGAACTTGGCTTCTACGACAATGTGGGTAGCCGTGTCAAACCAGCTAGAGACCCTAACCGCATTAGAGCTTTTCTTCAGACCTACAAAGAGATTGAAAATGCAAACACCCACTTTCAACTTCAGGAGGATCTCACTGAGCACCATTGGCAAAGGGCTGGACAGTAACAAACTCATTTTTCTATTCATTTGAATTTGTATTCGGGACAAGTTTTGTATTGCATTATTTAGTTCGCTTCGATGATTTGAATAATAATTTGTGATGTGGATGATTGTTGTATTGTGTTGGTATTGAATAATTATTTAGTTTGCTTCCGTGATTTGAATAATTATTTTGTAGTGTGGATGTTTGTTTTATTTTTGTGGTGCGGTATTGATATTTGCGGACCGGCGGGATGCGGGATGCAGCAGCGCAAGAGCAGACCCCGCAAAGCTGACCCGTAAAAAAAGTATATTCTGCGAATATCCTTTTATACGGGTCTGTTTGGGGGGTCTGCCTCTGCGACCGTCCGCGCCGGCCCGCAAAGCCGTTTTTCCGCGAACTGCAAACGCGTTTTGCGGGGTCTGCTAGAGATGCTCTAAGAATGAGTACTACATCACAAAGAAAGACAACAATGCGGCAGTTAGCCGTGAAAGCGGTTTCTGCAAATTACTCGGCGTAGAACGAATTGTGTTAAATTTGGCAAGAAATCTGTTTTCAATACATTACTTTTGCTCACTAGGTTTACATAAGCATCATATATTTTGAAAAGAAGTTGCAGAAAAATCCAGATAATTTCAAATATTAGTTTTGTGACCAATATATCAAGTGGGACATGGGTTGTAACTATGTAGATGGTTTATACCACATATATCATGTTCCTTGCTTCGAAATTCACGGAACAAATCTTCAGTGGCTCTGTACTGGTTCATATGTGAATGCATAATGTACTACCCATGGTTTCTAGCCGCAACTAAAACTGTAATCCCTTCCATGTGCCTGACTCATTCATTGGAGCCATCGTGAGCAACATCTAATCAAAATTAATATTGTTCATGGCAACATGTAGAACATTAAGGAAAATCATTTCACAGTTGAACGGACTACACACACAGAAAATTAACTGTAGTAATCTGCAGCATAACTAGGATCGTCAAGAGACAATGCAAAGACAAATGTCTAAATTGTAAGTGATACCTGGTTTCCTGTTGCAGGTTCTGATTGAATACTCTTTTCATCTTCAGATCCAAACCATACCCTTTCACCGGGAACAGAACCTTCTGGAGGGGCGAGCAACTCAACATTCTCGTGAGAAGCATCAGAGGCACACATAAGCATGCCATTAGACTTGATGCCGCGCATGTTTCTTGGTTTCAGGTTAGCAAGAACAATGACATTGCTGTCCTGCATAGATCGCATGCCATAGCTGATGTCATCAGTATTCAGTAAAATAGAAGAAAAAATAACTTGCACTTCATTGCAGACCATCTATTATATTCCCCAAAATGCCAATAAACATAATAGAATGCAACCGTAGAGTGAAGCATCAGGATCTTGGCTCAAGCTAGCCCAATCCTGGTAAATTCAGGAAGGTTGGCACCTGGTATTATCTTACCAAGTGAATCTTTATTTCTAGCACAATCATTAAGCAAGTTGTACACTTCGCCTAATAGCGACGTTCCTTTTAATAGATACCAAAAATTCCAGTTTGTCCACATAGATACCAGTACTAAGGAGTAGTCACTTATCCATCAAAATGCGCAAATTATGTGATCTATACAAAAACTTGAGCATACTAGACAAGTAGGAGTACATCATTGCTGAATAACTGAAAAATCTTGGATGGACGAGTTCTCATGCATCATTCATTACCTGGAGTTGGTCGAGGGGTAAGTACTTGACGAGGCCGCTGCAGATGGTGCGCGGCTGCTCCTCGCCGACGTCGACCTCCTCCACGTACAGAGTATCTGCCTCCGGGTGCAGCCACGCCTTCACGACCCGCCCCACCCGGATGTCCAGGAGGCCAGCGAGCTCGCCCACCGGAACCTCGCCTTTCTCCTCCTCCCCAGCCGCGGGCGCCGGCTTCTTCTCCTCTACGGCCGCCTGCGTAGGGGCCGGTGCGACGACGGCGTCGGAGGAAGGCGAGGAGCAAGAGCAGAAGAGGGCGGCGGATCTCGCAGCCGATAGCGGTGCCAAGAACGAGATGGATTTGGCTATGCCCCTGCAGCCAACTCGGGTCCTGGCGAGGATGGGAGTTGAAGGCGAGGAAGGGAGGAGGAGGTGGACGCGACAGCTTGATGCGAAGGCCATTCTCGCTGCGGCCATCATCGTCGTGGCGCTCTCAGGCTTCAGCTGCCGCCGGTCCGGTTCGTCTCCGCCGCAAGGCGAGGCGCTGGGATTTTATCCGATGGGGAAGGAAGGGCCCAAGTGATCCACAGGCCCATGTGTGGAACAGTGCAAGCAAATGCGTCGTTTTATTTACAGTACTCACTCCGTCTCGGTGCATCAGGCAGACATCTAGTAACAAAAACCAGATAGTCCTAAAATAATAAAGTGCCGAAGCAGTAGTAGTATTAGTTGTATGCATATTAATTAGGCTCATTTATTAATTGGAGCAACCTATGCATGCAATGGGAGGGTCATTTCATCACTCAAGCAGTAGCACGGATTTGTTATGTTGGGAGGGTCACACTTAAACCAGCGGGGTTGTTATCCATGCTACGCGCTGGTCATCTGCAGTTGGGGTTAAAGGGGTGATGGAAATGGCATGGGTTAAAGTTAGCAATGTCCCTCTAGACAAAAAAAGTGAAAGAAATCTGACTTATGTAGCAGCTCTGGTTGGGGTTCCTTTGAAAATTGATGCAGCTACCTTACACCGCCCGGCCTCTGTTCGGGTCAGGTTGGGATGCAGGAATGTTGATGAGATCTCTGTGATAGTCGAGGCTGTCCTCGGAGATCACTTCTACGATTTCTTCTATGAGATAGACTAGATCCTGGTGAGAGATCCTAAAAGAGAAAAAGAGAGGGTGCAGGCACCTTCTAACCATGATAAGAACAATAATGAAAAGAAATAATGTCTCCTCATCGATTCCTGGAGCTCAAATGGGCGGTATACCCAATGGGCTTGGAGGGAATTCTCCCTGCATTCCGCATGAAGGTAAACCAGACCCCATCCGGGATTCACAAGAGAGTACCGAGTCTGATGAATCTCTCCATATTACTCTTCTCATTGAAACCATGGCTTGTGAGATGGCTCGGGAAAAAGTAAGGCCCCCTGTTGAGATATCTACAGATCTATGCATGAGTAAATCGGAAAAATCTTACTCTGACATTGTTAAATCCTCTCACCAGGTGGTGGATGTGACTGATCACTGTGATCTTAGTCTGACAATCACTAATGAGTACAAGGTTGAGTCGCTGATGTTGAGATGAACAGTGAGATGTTCCCTGATCCTCCTGTGGTTACCGAGGAAAACCTTCGCTTCAGCCTGCGCAGTGCACAGAACAAGATGGAGAAAGTTGAAGAGAAGGCCATGGTAGCGGCGAAAAAACGAGACTTAGAAGGTATACCCCAAAATCTCAACTCTTTCGATGCACTGTACAATCATCATCTTATTATTGGGGCTGTCAAAATGGGAGTCAACACTCCAGACACTGATTTTACCGGTGTTGATATCCTTAGAGAACTTGAGAGATGTAGAAACATGGAAAATCCCGAGGGGCAATATGATAAACCCAATATCGAAAAAAAGAAAATGATTCTTACTAATGCAAAAGGGGACCAGACACCTTTGAACATGAATTGGGAAGAAGATAATGATGTAGACGAGGACAAATTTACTGTGGTGCGGTCTAGGAAGAAGAGAGAAGGAGAAGCCAATGTGGTTGTAGCCAGACCTGTCACCAGAAGTCAAAAAATGGGTTATCCTTATATAATGAGGCTGGAAGCTCTACTCTGTCTCCTAGTAGAGCTACCAGAAAGGGTGGGACAAAAAAGAAAAAATGAACAGTATCTTTTGGAATTGTAGAGGAGCAGGTACAAAAGGGAGGACTACCTGCTTCTCTGACATCATCAGAGATCACTCCCTAGACTTTATGGGTAGCCTAGATACTAAGAAAGAAAACTTTACTCCTAAGTATCTTAGGAAGATTGACCCCTTTAAGAAACTTAGTTGGAATTGGATTCCTTCTATAGGTAAATCGGGTGGAATTTTATGTGGGATCGATCAAGAAAGAAACCTTAGAAATAATTTCATGGACGGCAGGTAGAGATCTGCTGCAGGCCATAGTTTTTGGTATTAAGATTAACAATGTTTGGACCCTAGTGGAGGTTTATGGGGCAGCACATGATGACAAGAAGGATGAGTTCCTTGAGGAATTAACCCTCATGTGTAACAATATTAAAAAACCCTATCTAGTCGGTGGTGACTTCAACATTCTACGAGAGAGTAGTGACAAGAATAAGTGCCTTGATCGCTCCCAATACATGGATAGATTCAATTCTATCGTTAGGTCTTTGAACCTTAGAGAGATTCATATGGGAGGAGGTAAATTAACCTGGACTAATAAACAGAGACACCCCACGCTCGAGAAGCTCGATAGAGTGCTCATGAGCTTTGACTGGGAAGAACTATTCCCACTAGTTGTAGTACGAAAGTTAGTGAGGGACGTCTCTAATCATAATCCTTTGCTGTTGACAAC